TAGATTTGTTTTTCTCACCAACTTTCCATTTTTTATTATTTGTTTATTGAGTTTGTCCAAAGAGGAAGAGTCAAGAAAACAATTAAAAAACTATTTTTTTAAAAGAAAAAAATTGGAAATTAGGACACATTAAAGTTTTAAGAAAAAACCAATTTGGGTTTGGTTTAGAAAAACCAAACTTGTGCCTATTATGATCCATGGGGTTGTTATTGGATTAAGGGTTACAAGAGAATATATATATTGTTCTTAACCTAATTTTGGTAAAAGTAGAGAGAAACTAAAAACAAAAGTCAATTTTCGTAGGCTAAGAATAAGTAAAACAGTTACGTCAGAGTTTATTCAAAAGAATGTTTGGATGTTTTAACGTGTTCCGATTTGGCTAAATTTTTGGGTTAGCTTCGTGACTCAGTGGTCTTGATATTCAACGGTGGAGATTGTATTCAACGGTTGGTTCGTCGCAGATCTGAATTTTAGCGAAGCTGTTCACTGCTGCTGTGAGTTCAGATTTCATACTGTGTTGTCTTGAGTGTTTGGAAAATCCGACGATGAATTCTTCTTGGATTGAGCTGAAATTTTGTAAAAGTGTTCCTGACTTGTTTATCTAGGATTTGGAAGTCTGATTTGGTGACTAGAATCCTAGTGAATTCAGGCTCTTGTATTGTTCTCGTGTGGTGTTTCTTGTGTTGGAGATTGGTCTTTGGAGTCTTAGTCTCTGGATATGTTCTTTGGTAACATGGAGGACGTGGTTGTAACTCAAATTTGATCTAGTGGATTTTTGAGTGGATTACGGTTCCATGGTTTTTACTCCTCACATTGAAGAGGTTTTCCACGTAAAATAATTTGCTATCTCATTTACTTTACTACTTTGATTTGCTGCTGCCGTATTCTATATTATTCTCACAGGTTCAGATAAGTGTGAAAAAGTTTATTTCGCTGCACCATTGGTGCGTGTTGTTTTCCCCAACGCTTTATTATGTCCCAATACATCTTTATGTACTTGGCTTTGTCCCATTATACTTTAGTTAAAAGAGAAATCCATTTTTGTCCTCTAATTTAGTTAAAGAAATATTTTTGTTAAATTTAAATATTATATCAGATATTGTCTAAGTAATAATAGATTTTTTATTATAAACAAAATTTATGTAAAATAGATATGTGTAACATATTAACCAAAATTTGTTTTTTTGAAGAAACGAATATCAGAGAATGAAATTTTTGTTCAAAATTTAGTTTAAACATATTATTAACGAAATATTATAAACTAAATAAAACATATTAGTTTATAAATATGTAACATATTATAAACGAAGTTGTAATATGAAAATATCTTCAAAAAATATTATTTTAGAAAAATAGAATGAAAATATATTCAAAAAACTCATTTTATGATAATGGAATGAAAATATCTTAAAAAAATCATTTAAGGAAGATAGAATAGTCATTTGTTTTAAGATCTTAGATTTAAGGAAATTTAAAACTAACTTAACAAAAAAACCTAGGTTGCATGGAAATGGGAACGGATACGTGGAAACGAAACGTTTGGAAACGTGGAAACGATTTTTTAAAAAAGTTTAAGAAACGGGTACGTTTTGGAAATGCACATACACACACATATATATTTATATGAATCAATAACATCAAAAACAATATTTAAAATAATTTGAACAACACAAATTATATACATAAATATTAAATAGTTTAACAAAAACAAAAAGTAATTTTGTTGTTTTTAACCTATATACCAAACACAATCTTTCATAATTTTATTGTTTTTAACCTATAAAAGTATTAAATATATACTTATATTTCCAAACTATTTAATTATTACGTAAGAAACAATTTTTCATCGTATTTCCAAAACGAAATCGAATATTTCCGTTGTACTTCCAATTTGAGATAGGAAACGAGTTTTCCTCAAGTTTCCAAAACGGAATAAAGTTTCCATCGAGTTTTCAAATTAAAATATTTTAGGAAACGCGTTTCCAAATTAATTTTTTTTACGAAACACGTTTCCATTGAGTTTCCAAGAGTTTCGGTTTCCGAAACCTTTCTGAAACAGGAAAAGCACCTCGGACAGAGTTTCCATGCAACCTATAAAAAAACACATTCTAATTTCGG